GATTATAAAATGGAAAAAATGCTGTAAATCCCTGCAACCAACTCTGAAGCAGAAAGCTGGATTTGAGTTTTGAGTTTAGCATGAGGTTCTTTTTAATTAAATTCTTAATTTTGGCATAATTGTAGATTCACATGCAATTGTTTAAAAAAAAAAAACATGCAGAAAAGTGCTGGGTATGCTATGTCCACTTTCTCTAATGATAGCATCTTTGGGAACGATGGGATGCTATTACCACAGGATATTGACACTGGGACAGTTAAAGAAAAGAGAAATTTCATCACTGCTACGATCCTTCAGGATCTCTTTAATGCTCACCTTAGCCTCCCCCTACTGCACGTGATCCCACACTCCCACAACCTTCAGTATCTTTTTTCCATTTTTATATTTTTGTCATGTTTAAAATGTTGTATAAATAGTCATGTAACATGTAACCTTTTGGGATTTCTTTTTCATTCCTAATTTTTTTGGAGATTTATCTAGGTAATTGTGTGTATCGATAATTTATTTTTTCCTCTTGAGGTTTTCTTGGGATGGTTTTGCCACAGTTGATGTAACCATTAGCTTATTGAAAGACATCTGGGTCATTTCAGTTTTGACGTTTGCAAATGAAACTGCTATGAATATCCATTAACATTTTTTCTGTGCATGAAAGTCTTCCTTTATCTGAAATAAATGCTTAGGAGTGTAGTAATTGAGTTTTTTTTTTCTTAATTTTTAAAAGAAACTGCCATACCATTTCCAGAGTGGCTGTACATTTCTTACTTCCCACTATCAAGGTGGGAGTGATTCAGTTTCTCACCATCTTCAGTAACTTTTAATGTTTTCTCTATTTTTTATTACTATAGATGTATGGTGATATCTCACTTTGGTTTTTGTTCTCATTTCTTGTGCTGTCGAACATCTTTTCACTTATTTGCCAACTGTCTTCTCTGGTACAATGTCTCTATGCTTTTGGTGTTGATCTACCTTTTTTCCTTAGCTCTAGCCCCACATCCTGAGGATTTATTCTGTTTTTTCCCCTTCCCCATCCCTTGGAAGTTTATAGTTCTGTGTTTTATATTTGGTCCATTTTGAGTTAACTATTTGAATGAAGTGTTAGATTTAGGTTAAGTCTCACTTTTTGGTTTTCCTATGGACATACAAATATTCCACCATTTTCTTTTTCTTTCTTTTTTTAAAGTTTGTTTTTTCTCCATTTGATTGCCTTTGCACTGTTGTCAAAAATCAGTTGTCTGCACTTATGTGAAGCTATTTCTGGATTCTCTATTTTGTCCCATTGGCCATGTGTCTGTCCCATAAAATTGCCATACTATCTTGATTACAATAACTATGTAAGTCATTTTAGTCAGCTTTTTTTGTTCCTGTGACCCAAAACCTTGACAGTAACAACTTGGAAGAAAAGTTTATTTTGGTCCAGTTTCCAAGGATCAATCCATGGTTGGGTGACTCTGTATCTCTGGGCCTGAGGTAATACAAAACGTCATGGTGGAAGGGTGTGATGGTGAAGAGTAGCTCAAAATGTGGCAACCAGGAAGCAGAGAGCTCTGCTCACCAGGGACAAAATAAACCCCAAAGGCATAACCCCAACCTGCCTCCCCCAGCCACACCCTGTCTGCCTACAGTTATCATCCAATTAATCCATACCAGTGGAGTAATCCATTGATGAGGGTCTACAGCTCATAATCTATTTCTGCATTGTCTCACACATGACCTTTTGGGGCACCTTGCATCTAAATCCTAACATAAATCTTGAACTGTTGTCAAAAATCAGTTGTCTGTATTTATGTACATACATCTTGAAGTCAAATAGAATAATTCCAACCACGTTGTTCTTTTTCACAGTGGTTTTTGAATGTTCTAATTCTTTTGAATTTCCGTGTAAATTCTAAAATCTTGTTGATACCTATAAAAATTACCAGGATTTTGATAAGAACTGCATTAAACCTGACTATCATTTTAGGAAGAATTAACATGTTCATTATGTTGAGTTTTCCTATGTGTCAACATAGTATATATCTCTATTTAGATCTTCTTTGATTTACATTTTATTAACAGCATTGTATAGTTTCACATACACATCCTTCACATGTTTTGTTAGATTTACACCCAAGTATTACATTTTTTATTGTAAATATCATTGTTTTTAATTTCGATTTTCATGTGTTCATTGCTAATATATAGAAATATAATTGTTTCTTGAGTATTGATATTGAATCTTATGATCTTGCCAAACTCTAACTAGGAAGATCACATTCCTAGTTGACATGTAAAGAATCATGTCATTTGCAAATAACTATCCTTATTGAGTGAGTGGTGATAATTTGTGTTTGAGGAATTGGTCCATTTATTCAAGTTATGAAATTTATATGCATAAGGTTATAGTATTCCATTATCTTTTTGATGTATGCTCATTTTCTGTCTCCTTGTTTTATCAATTTATTAATTATTTGTCAATTTAAAATTTTTTAACTACTTATGGAATACAATGTGACATTTAACATGTATACATTATAAAGTGATTATATTAAGCAAATTAGCATATCACCTTCTATAGTTATTTATAGTGAGAATATTTAAAATTTGAACAGTTGTGGCATACACATTAACTGTGTCACCATTCTATGCAGTAGGTCCTTGTTCCTCCTGTCTAGCTTTGTACCTTTTAATCAGCAACCTCCTATCCCTCTACCTAACCCACAGCTTCTGGTAACCACCCTTCTACTTTTTATTTCTACAAGTTTTACTTTTTAAGATTTCACATAGGATGATCATGCAGTATTTTTCTTTCTGTGCCTGAGAGAGAAGTGTTGAAGTCCACAACATTAACTGTAGTTATCTGTTTCTCGTTCCAGTTCTATTCTTTTTGCTCCATATATTTTGTGACTTTCTTGCTCAGTGATACACATTCGTGATTAGCATTTTTTTTTTGGTGGGTGGTGGATTGACTTGTTCTACAGTTTTTCTCTTCTACTGATATTAACATAGCCATTCTTCCTTTCCTTTGATTACTGCTTCCCTGATTTACTTTATTATGTTTTTATTTTCAACCTACCTATATCACTATGCTGGTATGAGTTTCTTGTATGCAGCATATAGTTGGCCATTTAAAAAATTCCACTCTGTTGAACTGTCTTTAAATTGCTGTATTTAGACCATTTGCATTTAATATAATTACTGATATATTTGATCTTAAGCCTGCTACTTTCTGTTTGCTTTCATTCTCATTTCTGTTTTCTTTTTACTGTCTTCCAAGGGTTTGAACATTTTTTCAATTCCAATTTGACTCTCTTTGTATAGTGGTGTGTGTTTCTCTTTGCATAAATTGTCTGTAATCCTTGCTCCAGGTATTACATACACCTTATCACAGTCCACAGGTGTCATAATTTTACCAGTTCAAGTGAAGTACAGAAAATTTAACTTTTTTCATCTCTTTAGACTTACTCATTTTGTATAATCATCTTAAATATATTCTATAAATATATTTAGAACAAAATCACAATTTTTGGCATAATTGCTTTAACTATGAAACAGTTCAGAAAAATTAATAAGAAAAAGAAAGCATATTTATCTATACTTTCGCTTACTATGTTCTTCATTCCTTTTTGATATTCCAAGCTTCCTTCTTTCATCCTTTCTTCTCTTTCATATACTTACTTGAGCCATTCTTTTGGGGTAATGTGTTGGTGACAGTTTGTCTTTGCAGGTAAAAACTTGAATACAGACAAATTTTAGATGATTCAGTGTAGTCCTAGTGGATGATCAGTGAAGGTCAAAGAAAAGGAAAACCGTGGAAATGACATACTGAAGAGGATAACGTGATATTGCATCATTCTTTGTTTATCCTTTGTTCTGGTAGGGATTCACTGCTTGTTAGTCATTGGGTAGTGAGAGCAACACATTGTGGTATATCCATACAATGGAATACTACACAGAAATGAAAAGGAATGAGCTCTTGGTAAGTGCAACAATGTGGGTGAATCTCAAATGTATTACACTGAGTGAAAGAAACCAAAGAATACACAATGTATGATTCCATTTATATAAACCCTAGTAATGCAAACTACTGATCAAAAGTATATTGGTGGCTGGTTGGGGAGGAGCCAAACAGAGGGAGGTCCTTGAGGACATTCTAGGGGATGTTAACTATCTTGATTATAGAGATGACTTCACAGGCATATACATAGTTATTGTATATATGTTCATTCCAAAAAGCTCTTTAAAAATACCTTGTCAACAAGTGTTCCTAAAATGTATGACTGCTGAATAGTTCTGTAACCCCACATGCATCTGCAAAACCCAGCAATTTCATGCTTGAATGTTGTGGCATTGTTGAGTTGCTCTGAAACTTTTGAAAGGCTCACTTTCAGTTTTTCAAGTGTCTTCCAGTGAATGATAAGAAATAGTCTCATCTGTAAACTGCATTCTGATTTTCATTGTTTTAGAGTAATTCATCCACAATATTTATAGACATTTTTTCCTTCTTAGTATGGGGTCATTCTGTATGTATCATTCTAAAACCATTCTGTCTTACTTCATTATTCAATTAACCTGTGTTCTTATGTACAAACTCAATATGTATGTGATTTTCTTAGTCTGACTCCTAGCAAGTTAAGCTGCTGAATTTCGGAGTAGATTACGTTGAAACGTTGGTATAACATTCCCCCTCGCAGACTTTTAAAGGAATCATGTAAAAGTCTGCTATACTGTGAGAACATTTCAAACTGTAGTGTGCTAGAGAAGAGCAGGGATGTGGTGTGTTTAAATCTGTGTCCTGGTGTCCCAGTGAATTGGTTGGCCTGGTTTAGTTGGTGGAACTCTGTCAACCTCTGTGTACTTCTTTAAAGATGGGGAAGTGATTTCCTTGAATTCCCATACTTTGAACACAGTTTGGAAAGTAGTTCTACAAAATGGGAGATAAATTTGTGGCATGTTTTGCTTTTAATGTTATAATTTAAAGAACTGAGTGATACACCTGAACTAATATGCTTTTCTCTTTTCAGGCAATTGCTCTCTTAACTGAATTAATTAGGGAGAACTTCAGGAACAGCAAATTAAAACAGTGCCTTTTACCGACCCTTGGGGAGCTGATATATCTTGTAGCCACCCAGGTGAGACTGTCTGATTAACTCTGTTGCTGTTTGACATGTTCCGACACATCCTGGCTGACAAGTGTTAATATCCTACAAAAGTTTTTTGACTTTTCCCCTTAGAGCATGCCTAAGGAACTTAGGAGAAACTTTACTTCTGGGGAAGAGTTTCTCAGTGTCTTTCTCTCTAGCTGACCTTGTTTCTTTTCTTCCCTCCCTCTCAGTGCCTAATTCCCTTAAATATGTAGGAGATTCTCAGACCATATTTTAAAAATAATGAACTAAAAGTCTCCAAACTACTCCCTAAGTTGTTGCCATCTTTGACTCCTTTAGGTAGCAGGAGACCATTGTTTCTTTCAATATAAAGCCCCCTTTCAGTTTAAATAAAACACTACTTTGTGCAGGTTTGGCATTTAATATGACTAATATCAAATGGCAGGATTTGACTTCTTGTTTCTAAAGTTACAATATGGAAGTGCTATTGAACTCACCAAGAGAAAATTTAATATTCCACGAATATGTTTTATAAAAAAACATTATTGAATAGATATTGATAAATTATGGGTTAGTCATATCATGTGATACTCAGTTTTAAGCAGATACTGGTAGGTTTTAAATTAATAAGGAAATTCTGATTAAGTTTTTTGTTCTTGAACTTGCTCAAATGTTACACAACCTGAATATTATTAGATCCATATTAAACCAACTTTCTCAATAATCAGCACTAGGAGGTAGCTACCAATTGTTATAAAATATGAATATTTAAAATTGTTTGGCTTCATAATTAGTGTTGATAGTACAGCAAATCTCTTTCTTGTTCTTTCTTTACATTAGTGTCTTGGCTATTCCTGGCCCTTTACATGTCATAATACATTTTTGAGTCAGCTTGTCTGGTCCGTAAATCATCTTTAAAAAAAAAAAATGCATTGATTTTGCAGATAAATTTGAGGAGAACTGATATCTTTATGATTTTGGGTCTTCCAGTAAATGTTAGGACTGGTACTGAGTATGTGTAGCAATTAGGAAAGTATTTTGCTATCTTTGTGACATTTAGTACTCTAATGCACCAAACGCAATGTTTCTACATACTTATACTTAAAAATAATTTCCACTAGCATTATTTCTTTCTATTCAGAAAGCTTTTTGTACATGTTGGGTTGAATATATTTGTATGTAAATTTGTTTTGAAGAGCAAACTCATTTATGAACCAGAAAGCTAGGAAGTAAGGTCAAGTGTACAGGGAAAAGTCTTTTTTTTTTTTTCTATTTTTTACCATATCTGCCTAGTTTTCAAAAAGAAACTTTATGAATACTTTCTTATATTCAGAGTTAACTTTGAAAATACCAGCAAAAAGAGATGTATATTCTTATTTTGTCTCATTTTATATACAGGCAGAAACTTGGTGTTTTCTCTTTAAAGATATGAATAGTGTATGCAGGAGGACTGCAAGTTTGAGGCTAGCCTCAGCAACCAAGACTCTATGCAACTAAGTGAGACCTTGTCTCAAAATAAAAAACTAAAAAAGGACTGGGTATGTAGCTCATTGGTATAGTGCACCTGGGTTCAATCCTCAACATTAAAAAAATATATAAAAATATATGGAGATACTTGCACTAGAGCTTTTGCTTAGTCATTAATATGATTAATATAGAATGGTAGGATTTGACTTCATTACACGGTCCTGTTTCTTAATCGGCACATGCAGCTTCTGTTTCCCTCTTCTTGTAAAGGAACTGTGTGATGTTCTGATGTGCGAAGTTTTGCGAAAGGCACTTTTCCTTGCAGCTCTTTAGGGATGAGGCTGGAGAGTTGATGTCCACTTTGCCATTCCCTAGGACTCTCGAGGCCTTGACATAAAAGCTCAAATTTATCAGGTTTTTCGGGCCCTCAGAGTAAACTCAGACTTCAGTGCTCAGGATATCCATACTGTGCTTGGGATTCTTCAGTTTTTTATTTAGTCTTTATCTTCTTGATGTCAAAATAAAACCATTTATTTGCATTAGAAGATTAATCAGGTACGTAGTTTGTCATCTTGTCAGGAATGGGAATCTAGTTGTACCCCCCACCCTTTCTCTCCCAGTTTAATGTATAATGCTGTATAATGAAGTGATAGCAATTTGATAAATTTTGATATATGCACATATATCTGTGAAACTATTGCTACAATCAAAGATAATATACTTTTACCAGCAAGGTTCCTCAGCATACTTTGCTACTGCTGATTTGCTTTCTGTCATTCACACTAGAGTTTTATGTAAATATACAGCATCACATGTCTGTTTCTACAGTAGATTGGGAGAATGTTGTTCGTTGGTGTCTATTTTTAAACTGGATAAAGGGTAACCTCTTTTAATAAAGGGATGATTCTGTGGCCATGACATGACTACATCTTATAGCATACCAAAAAAGGAAGTTAATCCCTGGGTCTGTAAAAATAGCTTTTAGGGAGGCAACAGATTTTGTGGAATTATCAGGTTTTTGGTTATTTTGGTTTAATCCTTGTCAAGTGTAGTTTTTAAAAGGGAAAGGACAATTATTTTTGTATGGAATATGCAGGCACAGCATCATACTTTGGGGCCTTCAGGAGGGACACCCAGGGGTGCCTTCAACCAGCCCCCATTTCAGCCTCTGCTGCAGCTCAGGACCTACTTCCTAGGTCCTGAGAGCAGCCCCAAGAGCTAAGACTAAGGAGAGAGTCACGTCCCTCAGGGCATGTAACCCATGTCTGGGAGAAGAAATATATACCACTGAACATTGAGCACATAGGAGAAGCAGAGGCAGGCACCCCAAGAAGTGGATGGGCTGAACCCCCAACCAGCTGTGAAGGAGGTTCCAGAGGTTCTTTAAACAGCCCCCCAACCAACCCTGAGCACAGCTTCCAGAAGTTCTTTAAAAGAAAGTCATACAACCAAAAGGGAGGGGGTAGAGGGCAAAGGAGTTGCCTCATTTATACACAGCATTGTAAGCATCCGTGGTCTATAGTACATGTGCTTCAGTCTAGTGTTTGCATGTGTGTGGGAACTGTACCTCTGGAGCCTTGCCTTGTCTACTCCCCACCCCCACTCTACTGCCTGACCCTGGGAACAGAGACATGGAAGGTATGTTCGTTACCTAGGCTTGGTGGGAGCTAGCAGGCAGGGCCTGGGCCTCAGCCTCCACTCTGGTTCCAGAGTCCTGTGTCTTATGTGTGTATGCATGTTCATATGCATACAGGGAAGAGGGTCATGGTCCCAGAGGCTGGGTCCAGGTGAAGCTATTCACTCATGGAAAGGCCTGCCTAGGTGGCTAGCTCACAAGTAGATCCTCCAAAGGTCTCCAGGTGCTGTGATGCTATTGCATCAAGCTTAGAGCTTCTTGACACCCAGGGTCTGCAGCCTGATCCTTAGTAGCTTATTTGCCAACACTGGATCGACGGGACATCAGTGTGAGCCCATACAGATAAGGCATTTGATTTGGTCTCCCCTAGATAGCTGCCATTCAAGCTCCCTGATTCAAGCCTTCAAGGCTTCAAACATAGTCACAACTGAATCTTCAGTGAGTTTCTCAATGTTGCTCTTAATGCAGGTCTTCTGCATGGCCTCCTACTTGCTGCTTTCACCATTGCTGGTAGGTGGCATCTTGCCACTGGCCCATTTAGAGAACTAGAGTGTGATGTGGATGCTAGGATGTCACCATTTAGGACTGTGCCCTGGAGTGCTTCTCTTTGTGTCTTCACCAGGCTCCTTGCCTTGGGATCACACCAGTCTCCATGTATAGTGGCTTCCTATACTCCAGAGTGTCATCCCCATCCACATCCAAGTCAGAACCACTGTCCAGTTTCTCTTTGCTGCTGCATATGAGGAAGCCAGAGCTTTGGAAGCCACCTTCCAGTAGAGTGGTGGCCTGCATCTGCTTCTGCCCATGCCACTTACACTCCTCAAAGTGGTGGTTATTCACATGCTTGATGTCCATGCATCATCCTCAGCCATACAGGAGCCTCCCCTTTTAGAAAGGCAATGCTCCATCTGCCAACTCAGCTCCCACACCAAGCATGCCAGGGGCCGGTTGCACAGGGGACAGACATACCTGTCCTGTGTCTTGCTTCCTCTGATTCATTTTCCCATTCTGAGCATTCAGGTCTGCCTGTTTAAAAAAAAAAATTAGAACCTATTTTCCTATTTTTTTTGTGCTTTAAAATTTTTTTCACCTTCCTGAGTGGCACCTGATTTACTTTGATAGGTTGCAGGAGTGTTCTTGAGGTGGTTATGGTAATTTGGTTAATCTTCTGTGGGACAATTGTGGTGATGTCGTTAAAATCAGTGTCCCTGCTAATTACATTTGCTTATTTTTATTTAGCACATTATCTCACCTGGTAACTTATTGTCTTATGGATGTTACTTAAAGTTGTGTGTTCTCTGCTTTCAAATGATTCCGGATCTTGTAGTATGTTTTGGGTAGGGTTATTTATGCTATCATCTTCAGTTACGAATAGAATAGTTTCTCTGTTGGTTGAACCATATTCTCATTTTTAAATTAATTTTATCTAGCTTTTGATGAGGGGAATCTTGTGAACATCATATGTAAAATACTGGGAGATAGAAGAGATACTCAGTATATGCGCTGTAGTAAAAGACCCTTGACCTGATTGTAATTGTCAGGTATTAAGTATTAAATTAAATAGAATATTAAGAAGTTTTAAATAGTTCATGCATTTAGAACTGTGCCTCTTTCTTGAATGGGTTAATATCTTTTGTGCTGTTAGCTTCACTGTCTTTCCTTCCACTTCATTTTAGGAAGGAAAAAAAAAGAACCCCAGAGAATGCTGGGCCGTTCCCTTGGCTGCTTACACGGTGCTAATGAGGTGCCTTCGGGAAGGGGTAAGGCTCCTTTGTTGTCCTCTGTAGACACGCAATTGTAATAACCCTCCAGGCACTGTGTGAGGATTGTAGCCTGGAGCAGTGCAGGAGCTTGTCAACCAAGTATTGCTCCTGAATTTAAATAATCTTGACAAGCCACCCCTAGCAGGTGACCTGCAATGGAGCAAGTATAAAAAAGAACTAGCTTTCTCACTCACTTGTTTAATGGCCTGATTTTAAAAAGATAGTAACAGATATAAACAACTAACTAGCTTTTAATAGCATGCTGTTAATTATGTACCCCCCTTTAAGTTATTGCTACAGAAGTTTGGTAAGCAAAGTATGTACAGAGAATTCTGTGAGCCTCAGGTGCCCCTTGATTATTTTGTCAGGTTGCCATTTTGAAGTTTTGAAATGTGGAAGCTTCCCACTAGTATCCACTGATTTGAATATTGAGTAGTATTTGTTATGTGATGTAATTTTTTTTTCAATTTATTCACTTCACCTCTCAAGTTAAGTATAACGGTCGAAAGCCAGCTGGCCCCCTTATATGCATGTTGCTCCTGTGTGTAACCATGTAAAGGACTTGATAACCCGCCTAAAAGGTTGGCATTCTGTTTGCTTTATACGACTTGACATTGTTTCACCCAAGGCAAAGCCATAGGCTAAAAACACTCCTTCAGGAATGAAAAAGACATATCAGGATAAACATCTTCCTTTGGCATTCATTACTTTACATATTATGTGATGACAGTTATGTTCCCATTGTGGAAAAGCCTTCCAAGGCTTCCCCCTAGCGGTTGGGAAATGAAGTGGGAACACTTCTCAGCCTATGGTTTTGAGTGCTTAGTCATTTGTCACTATGGGATATATGATTGTATGATAAGTCATACTTTATCAATAATACAAGAATTAACTTGTTTTCACTTACAGTTAAAAGATGTTTGGCCTCATCATTCAAGGCCTCAAGCTGGGAGCATTTATGTTACACAGATGAAGAAGGTGATTCTCACCTATAGTAGAGATGAGATAAAAATATAAATTGGAATATGTCAAATACATAAGTGCAAAAGGAAAAGAAAATCAGGAACACAAAGGATGAAGGAGTATTTTAGGGATCTCTTTAGTAGCATAAAATCTCAAAACTTTTCATGTTTAATTTTTAAAACTTGTTATTTCCTATTAAAAGATGATTATACTCTTTGAGGTTGTATCTTGTTTCCTCCCCTCCCACTATGTTTTCCAAGGACACATAATAGGAAGAATAATCTTTTATATCCGTGTGCATTGTTATTAAACAACTATTAATTGTGAAATATCGAAATAGTTTTATATTTTAGTAACACACTTGCCTTTTATTGTCTTGGTATGTATGAGAGGGCCCCTATATTTTTTAGAGGAGAAGTCTAAATTATGTAGTCTATGAAATTTTCCATTTTCTATTTGAAAAGCAGTTAAATATGCATGTTGGCAGCATATATGCTAACACTGTTCTTACCAGACGGATAAGAGAGGGTGATTATTTTCCCTAATAAAGGATTTCTATCCTTAAAAAAATAATTTTGATTATAGCGAATCTTGAAATAACAAATTTGTCTAATGCATTGGGGGACCTAATTTAAGGTAAAATGATTTTTATGCCTTTTATCTTCAACAATTTCCAGTACTACTGGTGTTTCTGAATGTAATTTCTTATGAAATATGGCTCACATACTGAAGAGCACATGAAGTGTATATGTGTAGTTGGAAACACTGTCACATACTCACTGTCTTTAAAAAAAAAAAAAAAGTGCTGGCAGCCTGGAGCATTCTTTTTTTGTCCTTCTTGGATTGCATCTTGTCCTCCTTTCAAGGACAATCAGTATTCTGACTTTGGTAAACATCCTTAAGTTTTTATGATGCCTTTATCTTTGAGAGTATTGCTGAACATGGAATTGATTGGTTCTTAATCCTGAACTCTAAATGGGAATGGCACCATGTTTTTTTGAGATTTAGTTCTTTTGCTTAAAAGTAGCTGAAGTTGATGCATGTTGATTGTATAAAAACAATAGTTCATTTCTACCACAGAATAGTATGTTGTCCTTGGAATATGCCTCAGTATATGTACCCAGGACATATTTATGCTCTTAGGAGCAGAATATTGGGAACACCCATTAGCCTCTTTCTTATTCGAAATAGCCATACTTGCAGTTTTTTGTCAACCTGATGGGCATTAAGTGATTTCTTCAAGTAGTTATAATATGTGTCTCTGTGAATGCTAATGAGGATGTTTGTGTTTTTTTTTTTTTATTCATTTGGTTCTGTTTCCTGTTTTGAAAAGTGCTTATCATATCTTATATCAGTAGTTTCCCCCCACTCTGCTACTCTGTGGGACTCTGTACCCTTGCAACCACTTATTACTATAAAGTGTTTGAAACTTGAGAACAGGAGAGAAAACAGAACTGTAAGGATCACCTTTGTTTTCATCAGCTAGATTCAACAGTTTTAACATTTTGCCCTATTTGTTTTGTTGTAATGGCATGCATGCACGCATATAATATGCTTTATTATTTTCATACTACTGGAGATTGAATTCAGGGGCACTCTCCCACTAAGCTACATCCCTAGTCCTTTAAATTTTTTGTGTTTTTAAATTTTGAGACAGAGTCTTCCTAAGTTCCCTTGGCAATCCTTGAACTTCTGATCCTCCCTCCTCAGCCTCCTGAGTAGCTGGCATTATGGGCATGTGCTCCTGTACCTGATGTGCCATACACATTTATGATTTTATTTTTTAAACTGGTCAGTAAAAGTGAGATATCAATGGCACTTGACCCATAGGAATTTTGTATGTATTCTGCATATTCAGCTTTTGAGGTTTTGTGTTGCAGATACTTTTAATTTGTGATCAGTCTTTTCATTTTTTTATAGTATCTATGATAGGCAGAAGTTTTTAATTCTCTTCTTTTTTTGTTCTAGGGATTCAATTTGGGGCCTCATGCATGCTAGGAAAGTGTTCCACCACTGAACTTTATACCAGCCCCCAAATTTCTTTTAATGTAGCTAAATTTATCAATCTATTCCTTTGATATGTTCTTTTTTGATCTTCACTGATGATTCCCTACTCTAAACATCAAGATAGTCTATTATGCCAGGCACGGTAGCGTACGCCTGTAATCCCAGCAGCTTGGCAAGCTGAGGTAGGAGGATCTGAGTTCAAAGCCAGCCTCAGCAAAAGCGAGGCTCTGAACAACTCAGTGAGACCCTGTCTGTAAATAAAATCTAAAAAAGGGCTGGGGATGTGGCTAAGTGGTTAAGAACCCCGGGTTCAATCCTTGGTACCAAAAAAAAAAAAAAAAGTCCATTATACTTTCCCTTAAATTTTATTTTTTTCTTTTATCGTTTAGAGCTTTCATCTAGTTTGTGTGTGTGTGTGTGTGTGTGTGTGTGTATGGTGCTGTGTGTGTCTAGTTTTGTTTTGAAATCAGTATAGATAATAACCCCATGTCACTTGGTTGAAGTCTGTCCTGTCCCTATTGCTCTGCAGTGTCACCTGCATCCTATCAGTGTAAAGTCTTTTCCTGGGCCCTGCTTGGTTCTCTTGGCCTATGTTTGTGCCAGGCTATCAAAATTAATAACTCTGAATTTTAGAGATTAAAAGACATACACAAGGAGCTGGGATTGTGGCTCAGCGATAGAGCACTCGCCTAGCATGGGCAGGACCCGGGTTTGATCCTCAGCACCACATAAAAATAAAGTCATTGTGTTGTGTCCATCTACACCTAAAAAAATAAATATTAAAAAAAGACATACACAAGAATTTTCACTTTACCAAGATCATCTTTTTTTCCCCCAAGAGTTTCTTAGCTGTTTTTTTACTCCTTTTCATTTGCACGTAGAGAATCAACTTTTTGTGTTTGCCTGTTAAGATGTTGATTGAGAATACATCTGTAAATTAATTTGAGAATTAATTGATATTGGCATTAAATGGAAGGCATAGACAATGAAAATACTAACAATGACAGATTTTATTTAAAAAACGAATTAAGATGACACCTGGTTGAAGTGTCTTTGCACTCTTCATCGCAGTCAACTAATCTATTACTCAAGTTAACTGTGGTATAGTCCAGCTTTTTTACAGCTGAATATTTAATGGGAACATTAATATATTATGCCTTGACTGGAGGCAGAATTTAAGCAAAGTTTAATTAAGATCCTGCCCTGTCTTCATGTATTCATAAACAGAAATGTTATTTTTTAATCCCTACTTCTGTACCTGGCTTTTAACTAATTTGTTTTGAAACTTCATTGGCTTTATTTCTTGTGTGATTACTAAGCCATTTAAGACTCTTCTTTATCTAGTATTAGTGATAGCCTATTATTTTTGAAATGTATTGTTATTTCACAGATAGTCTCTAGCTCTAGTTTAAAATTTTTCCTTCATGTAGGGTTGTTTGAGATAGATTCCAACCACCTGAAAAAGTTTAATCTATCACCTTTGTCCCCACTTTGTTAAAGAGCAAAGGTGCATTACCTTATAGTCAAGATTGTGGTCTATTCCATTTTTCTCTTTAAAAGTGTGATTTTGTGGGGTATGGTGATACATACCTGTAATCCCAGTTACTCAGGTGGCTAAGGCAGGAGGATTGCAAATTTGTGGCCAGCCTCAGCAATGTACAAGACCCTGTCTTCAATCCCTGGATTCAAATCTTAGTACCAGGAAAAAAAATTGCGATTTTTGTCTTATTCTAAAACTAGCCATTTCAACCATTCAGTGTACAGTTCTGTGACACCAGTATATTCATATTGTTGTGCTTTTTCTCTTGTTTTTACATCTACTGAGATATTCTTTGGCTTAATTTCTTTTTTTTCCCATTTAAAATCTAAATGTAATCTGTATAAAAAAAACCTATAAAAGTTCAAGATGATGGATAGCTACCCCAATTTGATCATTACCCATTGTGTAACAGTTGTACTTCATAAAAATGTGCACAAAATTATGTGTCAAAATAAAATTCAGGACTGGGGTATAACTCAGTGGTAGA